ACCCGAGGTACCACTGTAAAAGAAGGCTGAATGTTAAAGAATTTATCCATCTGTCCATTGCATTATTTCTTTATTTGTCTAATGAAACTTTTTGAAGTGCAAAGCCTTGGTGACATTATAGGGACATAGTTCATCAGTGCCGTACAGGTCTTCTGCTGCAGATCTACAGATCACACAGAACACACTTGCAAAGTCAATTCTGGAGAGGAATAGGTACAACAAGAGTGCAACCCTATGCACGTCCACTCAGAAGTTGGTTGCGTTGTGTTCAGTGGGACTTAACGCCCAAGCAAACATGCCTAGGACTGCAGCTTTAAACTTGCCAGAGGGAGGCCCCATTTCAGAGCACCTCCAATGCTCTATAAATGTTATATGTTTCTTCACCTACAGAGACGTAAACAGTAGCTTTATTCACAAAGCAAAATAAATAAAACGTCTTAGCTCAAAACCATATTTGTGCCAATTTGCATGGAGAATTCCCCTAATGCAGGCATCCCCAAACTCGGCCCTCCAGATGTTTTGGGACTACAACTCCCATCATCCCTAGCTAACAGGACCAGTGGTCAGGGATGATGGGAGTTGTAGTCCCAAAACATCTGGAGGGCCTACTTTGCCTGTGCCTGCCCTAATGAACTAATACTTCTTTCAATGACTACTTCTGGGTGTTTATTAAGTTGATAAGAGAGCCAAGAACGAAAGTTTTCAGGGGGAAAGCCATGTTCTTTTTGTGTGTGGCAAGAACGACCAAGGTCACATGTACAACGTGGGTTGTAGTCAATTTTTTTTTGCTAAGAAATTAATAGACCCATGTTACCTATGTACATTATTGTAGTGGGTTATTTAAAACACACCCCTCCCCCAAAGAATCTCGAGAACTGTAGTTTACCCTTCACAGAGCTACAGTTCCCAGTTAACAAATTACAAGCAAACACATTGGCTAGTCTTTAAGGTGCTGCAGGACCCTATGTTGCTTTAGAATAAAGATGTGTGTGTGCGTTGTTTTGACGATGACTTGTTTGCAAGCCTCTGTTTGTCCATCAGCAGAAATAGCTGCAATGTACTCCCAAGAATCAGGTTCATTGACTCCTGGGTGGAGACCTTGAAAAGAGCTGAGAGAGGCAGAAAGGGAGGCTGGGTGTGGAGCCCAGGGTGAAGACATGGTGAAAAGAATCGGGTTCACAGAGTTTGAGGGCAGGTGTTGCCTTAGTAACAAGGCCTGAGAGAAGAGAACACCACTGCTGGGAGCTTGTAGTTGTGAGGCAGTCACACAGCACAGAGATGGACGACTGGTCGGTCCAAGGCAGTTTTGTGGGGAAGGCACACTTGTCCTTTGTGACTTGACAGTAGGTTCAGATTAACGATATCTGCTAAGAAATGTTCATGGACTGGCTGGATGCAGAGGAAAGGTGGGAGGGAACCAGCTTGGGAACCCCCAAGGGAAGAAGGCTCAAATCCGGGGAGTGGTGGTGGGACAATGATGAGTGGGCAGAGGGGAAAAACTGGAAGGAGGAGGTGTCAGAAGCTGAGGAGGTAACAGGGTTGAGTGAGCAGGAAGAGGCTGTGGCAGAGAGCAGTCCAGAATCCGAGGCAGAAACTGAAGCAGGAGAGGAGGGAGGCCAAGAGGCGGAGATGAGTCTGGATGGTATGGGTGTCCCACTCCTGCTGTGCCAAGCTCCTGTCCCCCTTGGTCTCCCAGAACCAGAGGAGGCATGAAAAGGATGGAGGAGAGGTTAGATTCATGGAGGCGCAGTGATTTACTGCTGGCTCGCTCCTGGCAGTGCTTAACCGTACAAGGCTCTGCTCTTGGCAAAATTGCCTGAAAAGCAATAGCTAAGGATATATCCAGGCAGCTCTGATCTGAATCTTTGGGTGGGTGCACCACACCTTGTCTCAGATATGAAGGACTCTTCAGCCCAGTTGCAACCCAGAGAGTTTGCACAATACTTTTAACCACTGGAAGATCTTTCTCTTCCCTTCCAACCAAAACTGGGCAAATCAGTCCATTTTGCTTCCTCTCAGTTTCTTTCTTTCTTTCTTTCTTTCTTTCTTTCTTTCTTTCTTTCTTTCTTTCTTTCTTTCTTTCTTTCTTTCTTCTTCTTCTTCTTCTTCTTCTTCTTCTTCTTCTTCTTCTTCTTCTTCTTCTTCTTCTTCTCAGTTCTCCATATCAGCTTGTGATTTTTTAAAAAAGTCCTTGTGAAGATTCATCAGCATTTTGGTGCAAAATTTCTCCCAATCTGCACATTTTTGGATGCGGTTTTGCCCAAAACACATTTTTGCAAAGCAGTTTCCCCCTAATATAATGCCTTTTCGGGGATGTGTGCATTTCATGACCCTAGTACATGCATTTTTGCACACAATACTCGGCTGGTGGGCTGCACTGCTAAATTCAAAATGCTAATTCAGAGTGGGCAGCTCTGTCCTGTACACTGTGAAATGGATTTTTTACTTTATAACTGTAGAGGTAATGTGTAAAGCAGGGGTTGGCAAGGTTTACCTCGCCTGGGCTGGTTCACTCCAGCAGAGATCCTTCTGTGGGCTGGATTGCGTGTGTGCCCACGATTTCCGGCGTCTGTGCAGACGCGATTTCTGGCGCCGTGGAAGCGAGTCCCTGCACCACGCTGCGCCAGTTTAGCGCAGCGCACAGGGACTCGCCAAGCGGGTGGCTTGGTTTGGGAGCCTCTCGTGGGCCGGTTAAATGACCCCCGTGGGCTGCTTGTGGCCCAGGGGCCTTAGGTTGCCTATCCCTGGTGTAAAGCACATGTAATGAGCTTTTGAATCAAAGCATACAGTGATGTTGAGGAATTTTTCTCACAAAGCTCTTTTTTATTTCATTTTTTAATCATTCCCCCTGTTTGCTACTGTTTGACAGATGGGTAAAATCTAATATTTCAAGGTTGCTTATAAAGTGATCAAGCAGAAACTAACCTGCCGTTGACCTTATGAAGAATGAGAGAGGGTTGCGCAACTGCTAGGTGTGCACTCTAGTCTCACTTCCTGCACTCTATTCAATCTATATTTGGATGTCAAAATGCTTTAGAATATGGGTGGCCAACCCACTGTCCTACAGATGTTGCTGGACGACATTAGAAGAACCTGGCTGGATCAGAGCAAAAGTCTACTTGGTTCAGTATCCTAGTATCTTTTTTTCATTTATTTTTTTCATTTTCATTTTCAAAAACAGGAACAGAGAGCTTGCTTAATCCCTCTCCCCTCCCCCTCATCCCACTTAAAACTTCATACCAAATACAGCATGTATACATATACCATATGACTTCCCTTCTACCCTTTTCCTGCTTTTCTACTACTCTGCGTAATCCACATCTTTTTAATCATCCAATTTGTTATCTATTAAAAACTCTTATCTATTTCAGCTCTGCTGGATTTACTTGAGACCTGCTAAGCTACGTATTTGTTTATACTGGTTCCTAAAATATTCAATAAACATTATCCATTCCTCCTTGAATTCCTTATCTTCGTTTTCTCTTATCCTGTTCGTCAGACCAGCCGGTTCAGCATATTTGAACATTTTACATTTTACCATACTTCTTATCCACCTTTGTGCCAATATTGGGTTCTAGCTGCGGCCATGGCGTATAGTAATAAACACTTTTGTTTTTTGGGGACCTCTGTTATTACCATACAAGAGAAATACAAGCTGCAGAGGAATTCCTGGGCTAGCCTATGCAAAAACAACCTGGCCAAGCCAGGGCCATTAAGAAGCAATACAGGGCCATTGAGGGCTATTGGCAATGCGAGAGAAATGCTCTCCCCCTTGCCCTGAGGCGTAAACAAAGATTGGGGGGTTGGAAGGTTGCCTGGGTAGTTGGGTGTGAGGCGATAGAAAGAGAGTCCTGAGCAAGGGTTGCTGGGGAGAATGAGGGGAGGAAGAAAGAATGGGATCCATCTTGGACAGGATGGCTGAAGGCTGGCTGGGAGAAATGCCTTAGATTCCAGGGCTGCGCTGCTGTGGGGGACAAGCCACAGAGGACCATGCTGTAAGATCTGGACTCCCCTCATGCAGACCGATGGTGTACATAGGTGAATAAGCCATATTTCTTAAAGCTACAACAGTCTTTGCCAGGTCTCAATTCTCCAAAGGAACACAGACCCTGAGTGAGTGCCTGGAAACCCATTGCTTGGCAGAGAGAGAGGGAAGGCAACCCAACTTTTGTAACAATACTCACTGTGGCTAGAAGCCATTGATAGCTTTATCAACCACAGATTTGTCTAATTCTCCTTCAAAGCCATCCAAGTTGGTGGCCACCACTTCATGTTGTAGGAACCAATTCCACCATTTAACTAAGGGTTGTATGAAGAAGCACTGACTTTTGTCTGCCCTGAATCTTTCAACATTCAAGTTCCTTGGACGGCTCTGGGTCCTAATCCTATGAGAGAATGAGGAAAATGTCTCTATGCCCACTTTCCCTGCACTATGCATAATTTTATGCACCAGTATTACTTACTGTGAAGGGATGCGGGTGGCGCTGTGGGTTAAACTACAGAGCCTAGGACTTGCCGATCAGAAGGTCGGCAGTTCGAATCCCCGCGACGGGGTGAGCTCCCGTTGCTCAGTCCCTGCTCCTGCCAACCTAGCAGTTCGAAAGCACGTCAAACTGCAAGTAGATAAATAGGTACCGCTCTGGCGGGAAGGTAAACGGCGTTTCCATGCGCTGCTCTGGTTCACCAGAAGTGGCTCAGTCATGCTGGCCACATGACCCGGAAGCTGTACACTGGCTCCCTTGGCCAATAAAACGAGATGAGCGCCGCAACCCCAGAGTTGGCCACGACTGGATCTAACGGTCAGGGGTCCCTTTACCTTTATTACTTACTGTAGTTTTAAACTACAACTCCCATAATCCCCAGTGATGGGCCGTGTTCACTTGGGCTGATGGGGGTTGGAGTCCAACAAATCTACACAGACAGAACCGAAGCAGACTGATGCGGCATTAAACGGGTACAGCAAGGCTTATAATCGTGCCTTCCTTTCCCCTTCTTTGCAGATCTTTGGCTGCTGGGTCTGGATCCTCGTAGCGGCTACCAATGTGTACTTCCCTTTGCTGCAGGGGTGGGTCATGTATGTCTCCCTCACTTCCTTTCTCATCTCGCTGATGCTTCTAATGTCCTACCTGTTTGGCTTCCACAAAAACTTCGCCTCCTGGAGAATCCTGGTAAGAGGTGGGACACACACAGAGTTTACAGGATGCAAATTTAGAAAACACATTGCTATTTATTAATTGAATTTATACACCGCCCTATACCCGGGGGTCTCAGGCGGTTCACAGAATAAAGTTAAGATATAAAACCACAAAATACATAATAAAAATAAAAACAACAACCCAATAGCCCCCCCCCAACCCCACATTTTAAAAGGGCAAAGGATGTAAATCAGATCAACCAAAGGTCTGGTTAAAAAGGAACGTTTTGCCTGGTGCCTAAAGGTGTATAATGAAGGCAAACTTCCCTGGGGAGAGCATTCCACAGACGGGGAGCCACTGCAGAGAAGGCCCGTTCTCGTGTTGCCACCCTCTGGAACTTGCTACAGTGGTACCTCGGGTTACAGATGCTTCAGGTTACAGACGCTTCAGGTTACAGACTTCACTAACCCAGAAATAGTACCTCAGGTTAAGAACTTTGCTTCAGAATGAGAACAGAAATCGTGCTCTGGCGGTGCGGTGGCAGCAGGAGGCCCCATTAGCTAAAGTGGTACCTCAGGTTAAGAACAGTTTCAGGTTAAGAACGGACCTCCAGAACGAATTAAGTTCTTAACTTGAGGTGCCACTGTTATTATTTTGTAGCTTTTTTTTAGCTGTTGTAATGCACTGTTCCGGATGCTGTGTGATTTTTAATTGCATTTTAAAAAAATTCTTCTTTGATTTCTTACAGATAGTATTTCATGGCATTGCAATTTAGCAAATAAGTAATGCAGTGAAATACAATGTAAAGAAATGAGAGCAACAGTAAAACTACAATTAGAAATCAATATGAACGCTTTAATGAGATGGGTGTGCTGTCTCCCATCTCCAACCACAAACCCACAGGCATGCCCTAAACCAGGGGTTGGCAAGGCTTACTAGGCATGGGCCAGATCACTCCCGCGGAGATCCTCTGTGGGTCAGACTGACGCAGCGCGACGCCGGAAATCGCGTCTTCGCATGTCCGCAGCTTCAGAAATCACTTCTGTGCATGCCCAGATGCCGGAAATCGCGTCTGTGCAGAAGCGATTTTTGGCATCTGGGCTTGCGCAGAAGTGATTTCTGGAGCCGCTTCCGGCCCTTGGGCCTTAGGTTGCCAACCTCTGCCCTAAACCACCAGAAGGAAACTCATGGGCCACTGGTGATCCAGTGATCATAAATTGGAACCCCTGACCTAGGCAAACCATCAGCATCCAGCATAGCTCTCAGGGCTGAACCAAGTCAATTTGGCAGCTGAGGCGAACCACAAAATGGCGCCCCCTCCTTAACAGGGAAGAAGGGGGTGGGTGAAGATCCACAGCAAGAACAAGGCCAGAATAAAGATCTACACCGGGATCTGCTGCCCCTGTGGATCCTTTGATCTGCAGCAGTCACCTCACCTTGCCTCCTGGGTGGGCCCACCCCCAGTGCTATTTTTCTAGAAAAAGAGGTGCTGGAACTCACCACGAGCACCTCCCTCATTCTCTCAGAATGGCAATGGCACCCACCTGAGCCGGAACTGAGTTCCAGAGAGTTCCGGCTGGGGAAAAAAGCCCTGCCTGGGCCTGATGGTTCCTTCACCCTCTCCTCATGACAAATAACATATCTTCTAAACCTGCACAATGTACATAACATAGACTGCAGAACTGAACTTTTCACTTTTTAAAAGGCCCTGATCTGGACACGAACCTGTTGCTCTTCATCTATTTTTTAGGATAGCCTTTACCATGGAGCTACTGGCATCCTCTACATGAGTGCTGCAGTCCTTCAGGCCAATGCAACCATCCGCTCGGAGACAGAAGTGCCCCCGGAGTCTTCGCCCCTCTACTATCAGCTCAATGCTGCTGCTACGGTGAGATAACTCTTATGCTCCACCAGCTGAATTTGGTTTGGTATGTTTGTGAATGTGGGGTCGAGGGGGAGGCCAAGTTCAAGTCACCCTGCTTCTGCTATGGACTCACCATGTTGTTGTTGTTTAGTCGTCTCCGACTCTTCGTGACCCCATGGACCAGAGCACGCCAGGCACTCCTGTCTTCCACTCTCTCCTGCAGTTTGGTCAAACTCATGCTGGTAGCTTCGAGAAACACTGTCCAAACATCTCATCCTCTGTCGTCCCCTTCTCCTTGTGCCCTCCATCTTTCCCAGCATCAGGGTCTTTTCCAGGGAGTCTTCTCTTCGCATGAGGTGGCCAAAGTATTGGAGCCTCAGCTTCATGATCTGTCCTTCCAGTGAGCACTCAGGTTTGATCTTCTTGCAGTCCATGGGACTCTCAAGAGTCTCCTCCAGCACCATAATTCAAAAGCATCAATTCTTCGGCGATCAGCCTTCTTGCTGTGCATTAATATCTCTTAGCCCAGGTGTGGGGAACCTTCAGATGTTGCTGCACGACAACTCCCACCATCCCTGGCCAGTGGCCATGCATTGTTGGGGCTGATGGAACCTGTAATTCAGTAACACCCAGAGGGCCAAAGGTTCCCCACACCTGTCTTAGCCTTGGTGAAACCCATCTGTAAAATGGGTGCAATAATTCATGGGATCACCACGACGCTTATTGACAGGCTGAAAAATATTTTGCCAACTGAAAGGGCGTATCTTTCAACCAGCAATAAAAACCATCCAATTGGGCTTCTGTTGATTATATACCCAGTGAATCATTTGATTTTGATCTCCTACTTTGTTAATATAATGACCACCATATTTTACCTTACTACGGCACTTTCAAAGGCAGAGATGTCACCGGTTGCTTCTTTGTCCAAATATGTTTTGGTGTGCAACCTGTGATCTTTTGCACTGAACGAAGTCAATTTATCTGCCAGGATAATCCTGAATCATGACATAAAGAATATGGCAGGTGGCAGGTGGACTTTATCCATGCCTTTTATTAGCAGTAACTTGGAACCTAAGTGTCCTAAGTGTCCTTTCCATGTGTGTAAGGTCTTGTGATTCAGTAAAGCAGTGTGTGCAATCTTTGCTGTATGTCCTCTACAACCTTCCAGGTCACCCCTCATCCTGTCCTGCAAGTTCTTCCAACCAGCAGTGGCTGATGTCCATTGGAGCTGGTAGGGCAGAATGTAGGGAGCCCAAACAGTAGATAGAGCCAGTCAAAGACAAGCAGAGCCAACAAATGCTGGTTCTGTCTCCATCCTCCTCCCTGCTGAGTTCTGCCAGGGGCAACATTGAGTCTAAGGAGCAGGAAGCTGACAGAAACTGCCACCCTTGGACTGGCTGTAAGAAGGTCAGGGCTGGCTGGGAACAGAGTTGAGTTTGGTAGGGCAGGACCTCATTCACTTTTTGTGGGGGAGAACTGTAAATTTTAAGTTGAAATTTTTCAGAAGAATGTGATGGCATTTGTATGTAATGTTAAACCACGGTTTAGTGCTAGGAGAATGAGCCCGTGCAAGTCTTGAACTTGTGCACTCCTCCCTCTTGCACATCCATGAGGAAGGGTTCAGAAGCTTCCGCTTCCATTGTAGACTAATCACAGGTTATCATGACATCCAAAGCCAGGGAAACTATGGTTAGTCTTAACTATGATTGGCTAAAGCAAGGCATCTTCAAACCACGGTTTATGAAGCGGTAGTTTTACTAAACCATCGTTGAGATTAAACGCAGTTTATACTGTTGTTAGTCACAAATGGAGGCGGGAGCTCTTGGTGTTTCTGCACTAGAAGAGGGAAGGGAGAAATGTGCTAGCCCAAGCCTCTCACAGGCTCATCTGTAATGTTAAACAGTGGTTTAGCAAATTGAGGAAATGCAGCCTGTTTGTATACTCCAAAGACTCTTTGATTTTCTTTGTATGAAGGGCTCGCTGTTTTAGTACAATAAATTTCAGTGAGTCTTGATGATACACACAGGAATTCAGGGGGAAGTTTATACCACTCAAGATTTAAAGGGCAAATTGTTGGTGCCTTGCTGTTTATGCCTCATCACATTAGAATAGATTACATCCATTTCCCACTGATTAGCTCAATTAATAAATATGCAATGTTCATCTGATAGGTTGTTTTTGTTCATTGTCATAATTTCCTAATCTAATTCTAATCAGGTAGTGCATGACACACTTTGGTGGGTAAACATTTGTTAGCTGCACCTACTTAGTTGTTCCCATGAAATTATGATGACAAGGGACTCCAGAGTCACAGCCCTTCATTGCCGCTGGCATCTAAGCATTTGCCTTGGAGCAATCAGGGCTGACTGTGGGTGTCTCTTTCATTTTCCTGGGATGTGACATCCGTAACCATTTGGATTTGAGGTAGGAAAGGGCTGTAGCTTCAAGATATGAGTGTGTATTTTCCATGCAAAAGCTCCTGGGCTCATTCCTCAGCGTCTCCGGGGAGAGCTGGGAAAGACTCCAGGTATTTTGAAACCCTGGGGAGCTGCTGCCAGTCAGTGGAGGCAATACTAACCTAAATGGACCAATGGTCTAACTCAATATAAGGCAGCTAAGTTCTTATGCGGTGAGGTGAAGGCAGATTTGAATGTGGTGAGAGAAGGAGAAACAACTTGAAGTTTTGTTTTGGTGAAGTGCTGCAAGTTGCTTTGCCCTTCAGAGTGTACATGGGAATCTTACCCAAACTATGTGGCAGCAGAGTCTGATTTGCTACTGATGAGACAAGGGCTGGAGAACTGCAGGCAATCTGGGGAGCATGCAGTTTGTAAATAAGAAGGGAAGAGATTCCTGGTGTTATGTACTGAGTTAAATAGGATCCAAAATGCAGCAGTCTGATTGGTCCTAGAACAATAGGATTCAGAATGCAGCAGCCTGATTGGTCCACAGGAGCCACCCAATTCAGCTCCAGTTGGAAGTGAATCTGCAACCTGATTGGCCTACAGGAGAATCCTGGAATTAGCCAATCACGTGGGGCCCATTGTGTAAATAATGTATATAAAGCAGACATTCTTTAGAGCTGGGGGACTTGTGTGTTTGATTATGGCGAAGCCATGATGCCACCCCAGGGCACTCTTCAGTCATTGACTCGAGGCCTTAATCATTTCGATCTGCAGATGTGGCACTTTTACAAGTGCCACACAATGTCTGTTCTTCCCCAGTGAGGAACTGATCTTTCATTGTGGTTTCACCTATACTCCTTGCTCACTGATATGAGTCAGGTGCTGTATTATTTCAGGCACTTGCTAAAATCCATTTTGTTTAAGTAAGCTGACCCGTATACATAAAACTGATGTGCCTTTTAACAGGTAATTTTCTTCCTTTTTTCATAATGTGCATTTTTAAACTACTGATTTTCTTCATATTTTGAATCGTTTTTAGGTCACCTTGCCCTTGGCTCCTGTCTTTCACAGATAATCTTAGTGTGTATCTTATGCTTTATGTAAACCGGTTAGAGGTTTTGACAATCAAGTGGTGTGTTCCAAATTTCATTAATTAAATAGATAAGGTGAATCTAGCCCACATGTCAGGCTGCACCAGCCTCTCCCAGCGCAGGGGGTCAAAGGTGATGCTTTTGAATTAGCACTGCCTGTCTGACTACTCCCTTTCCATCTACTTTATATAAGAGAGATAAACTATTAGAAAAGCAACAAAAGCTTCCAATATCCTCTCCTCAAAAGAAAATGACCCAGCGAAGCTGGGAGAGCAAAACCATGTGCGTTATACTCTAATCATCTCTCTTCTCCCTCCCTTTTCTCTTTTTCAGTTCTTTGCATTCATCACCACGCTGCTGTATATTCTTCATGCCTTCAGCAACTACTACCAGTGAAAACTGCCAGGAACGTATATAACATAAGGCCTAATTTTCCCTCCATGGAATCTGTGTCCCAAAACAAATTCACATTTGCGTAAGGACAGAGCCCAGTTGAAATTGTGGCTGTTCATCACCTAGCGGCACCTTCTCATTTTAGGTGAAAGAGATATTGGGTTTTATTTCAACCTGCCATTTCACTCAAGCTGTGTTGTGTAAGAAGCTGCAGTAGAAATTCTACCACCCAATCCTTGATAATCACCGTTATCCACAGTCATAGTCTGTTCCCCAGAGTTTGTGCCTTGGAAAACCTGTGTAAATAATACACCCATTTTTCTAAATCAGTGTGTGTTTGTGGGGGGTTCTTCTTCAAAGTACTTGTACCGTTTCCAAACCAACTCCTCTGCTGATGAAGCTGGGTATATCTGCTCTGAAACCCTCGCACGTTGCAGAGGATTCTGGGGTATTTTCTAGGTGAGCACAGATGATAAGAGGCACTGGCCGCCGAGTCTGTGGAGCCCCACCATTGCCCAGCTTAAACTCAGAAATGTGCTCTCAAATGCGTCTCACAATCTCCCGCCTCTGCGTGCCACAGGAAACATGGGTGGCAGCGGGCAAACTGTCTTTCAGGGAGGCTTGTCTGTGACTATATTCTTCTGACTAGGTTCCTTTGAGAAGCTTCCAGAAATTCCAGAGCTTCCCCGAAGAACCATTTGAAAACTATTCCCTCAGGCCATTTGGATAAAACCATGTTTGGCCTGACAATGACCGTCACAAACAAATGAATACCGTTGTCCAGGTGACCATTAAGAAAGATTCATGTGTTACAGTGGTGCCTCGCAAGACGAAATTAATCCGTTCCGCGAGTCTCTTCGTCTTGCGGTTTTTTCGTCTTGCGAAGCACGGCTATTAGCGGCTTAGCGGCTATTAGCGGTTTAGCGGCTTAGCGGCTATTAACGGCTTAGCGGCTTAGCTGCTATTAACGGCTTAGCGGCTTTAAGAAAAAGGAAACAAACTTGCAAGAACTCACAAGACGTTTCGTCTTGCGAAGCAAGCCCATAGGGAAATTCGTCTTGCGTAACGACTCAAAAAACGGAAAACCCTTTTGTCTAGCGAGTTTTTCGTCTTGCGAGGCATTCGTCTTGCGGGGCACCACTGTACTTTCTGATGCTGTAGTATTGTTCACGTGGTATTTTTACCTCATCAAATGCGTGTGGGATGTATATTTTGAAAATGTTCCTGCAAGTGGCAAAAGATTGTATTTACTTCAGGGGATGAATAAATATACCGTAAACTCTGGCTTGTCATCCTGTCACGATGATATTACTGGGTCAAAGAGCAACGTGTGAATTGCCCTTTCAGTACTGCTAATATATGCTAAAGGTTTTTCTGTCCTTTGTTATTACAGAGAATGTTTGTTTTTATGGGGAAACATGAAGTAACTTATTGGTAAATCTGTGTGGGTTTTTTAAAAAATAGTTTCGTTCTCCATTTTATATTGCTATTTTAGTGAACTATCTTTTGCTAGGACAATATGGCTGACTGTTCTCTCTGATTGGCTCACGTGTGTCTCTTTTGCTGTTGCTGTAAAATAAATCTCACTGGAGATCTGTCTCCCACTATATCTGCTTTCCTGTGTATGTAGATGTAGATGCAGAAGATGTAATTAAGGACATGTTTTTGCCAGTTTAAACTGCCACAGAAGAACTGTGAGGGTTGTAGGCTTGTGGGGTCCATTAGGGGGCCAGAGCTTTCTAAGGATCCATCTAGACTATTACATATTTCCAAACACAACTACTGTAAGCCAGAAAAGGGGAAGAAATTCAGTTTTGCTTGCATTTTAATGAGAAACTACCTGATTTGCAAGCTCTTCAATAAATACAAGAACCAAAACACAGCTATCCATCTGAATTGGCACCTCTCTGAATTTTGCAATACAGCCGCACAACCAGAAGATGTGTACAGAAATGCATGTATTAGGGGAAAGTGTGTATAAAACTTCATATATTAGTGAAAGTAACACACACAAATACATTATGTTAGGGAAACCTGCTTGCAAAAATGTGTAATATACTAATTGACTAATATAGTCAAAACTGCATACAAAAACAGTTTTTTTAAAGGAGAAAGTCACACTAAAATGCTGGTGAATTTATGAGGGTTTTTTTAAAAAAAACAACTTGAAATTTCTGCTTAAATGTGAAGAACTGAATTCAAGATTTGGAAAAATGAAAAACGGACAGAAACCTAGATCGACATATTTGTCCATTCCCCATCTCTGCTGGTATCATCAGCATGCTTCTCGATAAAGGAGGGCAATGAAAACACACCAAAGTTTGGGAGTTATTTCTACATGTCTGCCTCTGAGATCTAGGAGGGCTTCAAATTGAACCAAGGGAACTTTTTTGTAGCAACCTAACTCTGAGGTTAAGCTGTGCTTCTAATCCATGCAGGGGTGCTCAAGCTTTTTTGGGCCTGGGGCCACCTCTGGAGATCCAAACCACTGTTGTGAGCATCAGAAAATAGATCAATATCCATTTCAGAGAAGAAAAATGGGCAGTGCTCAGAACTCCACTCAAATAACAGACAAAACAACTAGTTTTATCCCCATACACTCCCTGCTGCATTCTGCAAGGGGCACACTGAGGACTCTTTTGGGGCTGAGATTTCCTCCATTTCTACCATGAGGTCTAGGCATGGGTCTAAGTGGTGTACTGTTGTTTTTCTGTCCCACTGCTTCCCCCAGGAAAAACCGTGGTTTAGTGCTGAGTCGGAATTAACGTCAATCAGGTTTTCTGTGGATTGACAGTTTTTCTGATTCAGCGCTAAACAGCACTGTTTCATTGAGGAAAGCAACATTGCAAAAAACAAAGAACCCACATCACTTGGATCCATGCACAGTAGTCATGGGACAAATGGAGGAAACCTTAGACCAAAGAGAAGTGTGGATGAACCCAGAGACTACAAAGGAAGTCTCTGAGCTACAGAGATGCAGAGCCACCCACTAGACTGGCTGAATTTAAGAAGGCAGGCAGAGGAAGGGCAAGCTGAGGGCCGACCCATTTGCCAGAGGCAGATTTAGAGCAGTGCAACTGGTTCCCCTGTAAAGGGCAACAAGCTGAGGGGCGGGGGGCACTGCAGGGTATCACAACTATGATGTAGTACATGCGCAGAATAGAAGGCAAGAGGTAGGGGGGCACTGAATTTTGACCTCATACAGGATGCTGTGCCCCTGCATTTGTTCTAACAGATTATCCTCGCCTGGTATTATCTCAGACACACCATTGGACCTTAGTGCGGAAGGGGTCCACACTCAGATAAGTTCTCCCCTCAAAAATAATCCCTGCCTCTTAGCAGCTGAACCACTGACTCTTCTATTGCCCTTTCCTTCAGGGCCCAATTGCACCACAGTCCATGAGGAAGCTGCATGCCAATGGAGATAGCTGCCTGTTGACCCCCCCAGGAAAACCTACTCCTTGAATGCAGTGGTGAAGCTAGGCTTTATACAGGGTGAGTCTTTTAAAAGAGGCCCTGTGGAACTTTGTTTCCATGGGGCCTCTTTTAAAGGACTCGCCCTGTATCACACGTGTCAAAGACCCAGTTTGGCACCCCCTCACGTATTTGCACACACACACACAGGCTGGGAGCTCAAGGGTGCCCTCCGGAAGCTTCACCTGGGGCAAAAACAACAACTAGTGCCCCCCCCAGCTATGGCACTGCCTTAGTGGTAAATTGGAATATACAACAGTCTGTGGAAATCCCAATTGCCGTTTGTTCCAATTCAGAGCTGAACTATGGGTTTCCCTGGGGGAAAGTGGCAGGGCAAACGGAAGTGTTGATGAACCCTGAGTGGCAAGCAGTTTTCCCTTTTTCTGGCTAGCTGGTGCAAGCCTGTTTCGGAAGGGACCCAGCTTCTGCTGTAGCCTGCCTGCCTGCCTAACTCATTCCTTCTTCTACTAGGATAGCTAGTAGAAGATGATTTCTTTCTTTGGCATAGCTAAGTAAGATTGTCTTCCATAAACACGGTTTTAACAGTGAGTCTGTAAGTGGCTGTGGAGGCCAATTCTGGATCCACACGTCCTTCTACAGTGGGGACGTTGGTTTCCGGGTGGGAGTTGATCACGGTGTGGATTTACCAAGCATGCCTTCCTCTTAGCATGTTTCTCCCCTGCGTCCTGAGTTCGAGTGTCTACAACAGTGTTTCCCAACCTTTTTTGGGCAAAGGCACACTTGTTTCATGAAAAAAATCTCGAGGCACACCACCATTACAGCCCCGTGACGTCAGCGCGCAGCGTCACGCCGGGAGGGACATGAATTGCTAGCAAATTACATAATCACCTCCTTGAGGGCTGGCTCATCTTCTCCGAAGGCAGAACCCCATTAATTAACAGCACAGACTCACACCATAGCCAAGACGAGGGGGAAAAACCTCAGTCATGCACAGTCATGCACATGTGGGGGCTAAATGAGGACGAAGACCGGGCAGAGAGCAGGGTTCAAATCACCCCACCTGGCCAGGACAATCCCTGGGTGCTCCCTTGGGCCACTCGCCTGACCCACCTCGCAGGGCTGTTGTTGCGAGGATAACACGGGGAGAACCACGCGCGCCCCCGGGAGCTCCTTGGAGGAGAAAGCGGGCGATGAATGCAATGCACGAAATATATGAGAGGCGACCAGGTTTTGCAGGTGAGGGGCCCCCGCCAGCCTCCGCTTCCAACACCCGGCGCAATGATGCCGAAGTTTCCCCCTGGGCTCGGCTCGGGGAGCAGCGCTGCTCCCCCCGGCTCCCCTTCGCCCTCCCGGCTCTCTCTGCCGCCCACTGGGGACCCCCCTCACCTGCCAAGTCCGGAGCGCCAGTGGAAGTTGCATGCATGCATGCAGGGCGCCGCGTTGCCATTGCATTGCACTGCACTCCATGCAACGCCTGCACGCATGCATTGCCTTGCATGCCCGCCAAGGGGTCTCCCCGCGGTCCGATGCGTCCCCTCCGGCGCGGATGCAGCATTGCAAAAATAAAAAACCCCCGACGCAGCCCTACCTGGGGGGCAGCCTCCGCCTCCGCCACTCCGCCTCCGCGGGGATCCCCGGGCTCCATCCTGCCGCCCGATCTCCGGGGGGCGCAGGCAGGCTGCGCGGGGTCTGCGCGGAAGAGCCCCTGCCCGCCCGGCCGCCGCCGCCGCGCTCATTCCATGGCCGGGAGAAGAGCGCTTCAAACAAAACGCCCGGCCCGCCAGGCCACGCTGGGAAACGTAGTTCGCGAACCCCGCGCGGGCACAGAGCCCAAGGGCGAGGGGACTATGGATCCCGGCAGCCCCCGCGCCGGGGACGGAGGGGGAGAGGCCGGGTGCAGGGATGGAGGGACGGGTGGGCGAGCGAGTGAGTGAGTGGCAGCCGCCAAGCCTTGGCCGAGAGCCAGGAAGGGCCTCCCCGGAGGAGGAGGAGGAGGGAGGCGCAGAGCGGGAGGGAGGGAGGGAACCCCAGGGGTCATCTAGTGACGGCGCCCCAATCGAAAATTTGACTTTTTTTAAAAAAAAAATCTTTCAATTTTTTAATTTTTCCCGCGGCACACCAGGCAACATCTCGCGGCACACTAGTGTGCCGCGGAACAGTGGTTGGGAAACACTGGTCTACAAAACCCATGACACCTTTGGTAAAGGCCGTTCTCCAACTGGAGCGCTCGCAGGCCAGTGTTTCCCAGTTGTCAATGTTTATACTACATTTTTAAAGATTTGCCTTGAGAGAGTCTTTAAACCTCTTTTGTTGACCACCAGGATTAAGCTTTCCATTTTTAAGTTTGGAATAGAATAGTTGCTTTGGAAGACGATACTCAGGCATCTGCACATCATGACCAGTCCAACAAAGTTGATGTTGAAAAATCACTGCTAGCACATTTCTAAAAGACAAAGAA